CGTTCTCCGTTCCCCGTCCCCAGTCCTCCATTTTGGTGTCTGGCGAGCTCTGGGAAAGAATTCTGGGAAGGGAAAAATGGTGGGCTTGGGGGGAAGGAGGGAAAAGGAGAACAGGAGGGAAGGGCTCGAATTGGAGGCCCGCTAGAGGGCGCACGACTCTCGTAAGGGGGAAAAAAATTTTAAACCTTTGCTATCAGGGCTCTGAATCCTACTGGTTAGTGCACCAAAGCATTTAGTCTCTCCTTGCCTTTGTCTTACTTGTGTTCAAAGAAAAACAACCAGGAAAAAATCTCATCATGGCAAATATCCACCAGGAAAACGAAGAAATGGAGCAGCACATGCAGAATGGAGAGGAAGACCGCCGTTTGGGAGGGGTCGAAGGCCACCAGCCAGCAGGAAATAATAGACGGGGACAGGCTCGCCGACTTGCCCCTAACTTCCGATGGGCCATACCCAATAGGCAGGTCAATGATGGGATGGGTGGAGATGGAGATGATATGGAAATGTTCATGGAGGAGATGAGAGAAATCAGGAGAAAACTTAGGGAGCTGCAGTTGAGGAATTGTCTGCGTATCCTTATGGAGGAGCTCTCTAATCACCATGACCATCACGATGAATTTTGCCTTATGCCTTAACTCCTGCCATTTTCTGTGAGAATAATACTGTGATTCCCACTGTTGTTTTCTTATTTCTTACATTTCCTGATACTGCCTTTACTGATCTGTTTGCTGTGAACCTTATGTTCATGTGTCAGGTGGGTTCTGTATTACCAGCTTCTAATCTGAGATTGCCTTGACACCCAGTCTTAAGTTTCTGTCAACAGTAGTTTCACCCATTTGCATGGAAAAAATGTAAAGTTAATAAAGCAATTGAAAAGCAATTTATACATTTATTGTCTTATTAAAAAACATATACGAACCCTCTAAAAAATCTGAATCAAATCCCCAGGGTGTTAACTGGGGCACGTTTCTCTGTGGTCAGATAATATGTGAGTCCTTTTCCTTTAATTATCGAGTTTTAGAAGCAATGAAAACAATTTTTCAACGGGTCTGTGAATGTAGTACAGGTACATAATAACTGGTTCAACAAACTTAAAGAAGAGTGAACTTTATCTTCAAGGCTAAGCTGGAGGAATAAACCCTTTAGTACAGATGCATTCCTTTAAAGAATCAGTCTTCTCTACTGTAAAATGGAGAATAATGCTTGCTTTACAGGGCTGCTGGGTGGAATAGATGAGGTGTGGAACTCTGTTGGGCTACTTCCTGTGCACTCCCCAGCATTTAATGGGACCCTGACCTGCATCAGGTACGTGGGAAGGACTAAAGGGAATTTTCACTGGTTGTCAAGTCCAGAGGGCAAAAATAGGTGGGTTCTACCTTGCCGTTCCTTTGATATTTGCGATTGTTGTTGCTGATGTGCTAGAGTCCTCAAGATAAACCCAGATGTCTCTGGAGTCCCTGGTGAGCTAAATCGCCCTTTGACCCCTGTAGAAGTGTGGAGAATGCCTTTCTCTTCACTTTAGAGTTAAATTTATCCAACTGAACATCATTCCCATGGTTCTTGGTCTTACCTTAGTTCTTAACAAAATAGCCCTTTTTGGTTTTTATGCCCCTCTTCAAAGAACTCAGACATGAACACACTGGGGCCTAACTCAGGAGATACATCTAGATGTCTCACTATAGTCTGTCCAGGATGGTGTGTCCAGAATAGCACTACTTAAAATGACCAAAACAAGCTGAAAGTTTTGTTTTGTCTGTGTTTCTTCCCTTTGTGGAGATTTTCTCAAAAGAGCATCTGGGCAGGCCTGCCCAACCAGTTTGACAGACTTACCCAGAAGACATGTAAATTACATTAGGGGAACACATTTTATAGCTGAAACATTCCCATTTCTAGCCCTTCCACACCTGAAACATGAAACTGCTTTGCAAGTTCCTAAAAACATTACTAAATATTTGGCATTATCAGTTTTATGTGAGTGTGTGCCCTTCTCAAGACAAACGTTTTGTCTTAATCACCGTTGAGCTCAGTTTCTAGTGTAGTGCCTGACAGATATTTAATTATTAATTGTTTTGATTGATAATAAACTATATGGAGTTTGGAACCCGTAAATGCTGCTCCTAACTGTCCTTTATAATTAAATGGCCTAAGACAAGTAATTACTTACCTGGAAAGTACTACTTTTAATTTCCAAAGGAACATAGCAAGAAAATTCTCTAAACTAAAATCTATAGTTTTTTATTTTGAACCTTGTATATGCTAGTGTTTATGTAAACACAGACCACTTACCTGCATCACCTAGGGAAAATGTTAAAAATGCTGACACTTGGGTGCCCTTCCTACTCTCAATCCCCATTGTCATTCCCAAATCACCTGATCAGGAAATGACTGTTCTTCAGGAGATTGTGATGCATCTGAGTTTTGACAGCACAAGCATAGAAAAACACTGACAGTGATTATACTATTTCATAAACAGTAGGATCTAAATTACCTTGTTTGATACCACAGTGAACATACCTTTCCAAAATAACAAGATTTCTAAATTCGGATTTCAATAAACAATGTGTATGTCTATATTTAAGCCAGTACATTTTTCTTCCCAAATATCCTATTAAATGAATGCATTATGAATCTATTATTAATA